GTTGAAGCGGTCTTCCCAGTTGATCAGGTTAATGGCGAGACCAAGGTGACCGTAACGACCAGATCGGCCGATACGGTGCAGATAGGTCTCAGCATTCTTGGGGAAGTCAAAGTTGATGACGACGTTGACAGCCTGAATGTCGATACCGCGAGTCAGGAGATCCGAGCACACGAGGTTGCGGCACACGCCGTTGCGGAAATCGTGGAAAACACGGTTGCGAGCCTGCTGGGCCATCTTGGCGTGAGAGTAGAAGCATGAGTAGCCCAGCTCGGTGATCTTCTTCGCCAGCAGTTCGACACGGTTTGTTGAGTTGCAGAAGATGATAGACTGGTTGATTTGCAGCTTGGAAAACAGCGTGTTGAGGCAGTGAACCTTTTGCTTCTCCTCGACGAAGGCATAGTATTGGGTGATACCACGGAGAGTGAGTTCGTCCATGAGGTTGATTTCGTAAGGGTTGGCCATGTTCTTGTCAGAGAAGTCCTTGACCGACAAGGGGAAAGTCGCGGAGAAGAGCATGACCTGGCGGTCCTTGGGATGGAACTGCAACAGCTGCTCAATGACGGGAGTGAACTCAATGGACAGGAGCTTGTCTGCCTCGTCCATGATGAACATGGGACACTCGCTCAGATCGGCGACGGTCTTGCCTGCGAGATCGAGAATACGACCAGGGGTTCCGACAACGATATGGACGGGGTCCTGCAGACGGATAATGTCGTCGCGAAGGCCAGTGCCACCAGTGGTAACCATGACGTTGATGCCGAGGTGCTTGCCGAGCGTCTTGCAAACCTGAGATGTTTGCATAGCGAGCTCGCGTGTGGGGACGAGGATGAGGCACTGGATTTTGGAGACTTTGGGGTTGATCTTTTCGAGGGCAGGGATGACGAAGGCGGCGGTCTTGCCGGTACCGTTCTTGGCGCGGGCCAGGACATCGCGACCGGTCAGGGCGACAGGGATGGCTTCTTCTTGGATGGGCGAGGGCTTCTCGAAACCGGCCTCGAAGATTCCCATCAGCAGATCCCTCTTCAGTTGGAAGTTCTCGAATTCCAGACCTTTCGTGTTTGTGACATCCTGAGAGTGTAAGAGCACCGCTTTCGCATCAGCTAGTCCTGGCACCTACCTCAGTTTGTTGCCTGTTGTCTTTCGCTGGCAGCTTGAGGTTCTTCTTCCAGTCTTCAGACGCGGCGTCGCTGGCCAAGACTGTCAGCACGGGACGGAGCCGAGTTCACAGCGGGAGTGGCAAGCTTACTTCAGAGAGGTCCCCTTCAACTGGTCTGCGAGTGCGTCTGACATTTTGGTCCGGTGTATGTATGAATATGTGTGGGAGTCGAGAGGGAAGGAAGTCGTTCAGGATTTGGTCTTGTGCGTGGGGGGGCGGGAAGGCTGTGGCCCGCTAACAATTACGAGGAGAGGTCGGCTTGGCGCAGAATGAGGCCGCCAGTGAAGATTTTGTTGTTGTTGAAGCTTTGGGGAGAGACTCGAAATTGAGCGGACGTCGAAGACGTTTGTTGCGTGGTATCAGGCGGGTGTAGGGCGGCACCGTCGAGAGGGAGGTGACCAGGGCGAGCGGTAGGCAGGAGATCACAAGGGAACCAAAGGGCAGGATGATGCAAGTCTCGGATGCAGGCAGAGAGCTAATTGAACTTTAGCCGCGAATTGTGACGTGTCAGACGATTGGTGGTTTTTACGGTTGATAAGGAGTCGATCTGTGTCTGCTCACTAGTAGGTGGGGTGAGGATTGTCGCGGCGTGTGTGGTGATCGTGGAGAGGTGATGTAGAAGAACGGGTTGTGATGGTTGTAGGGGATCAGGTTTGACGTTCGCACGGGGCTTTTCGTCGCTGTCTAGCGGGTCCTCCAATGGTTGGGCCAGGGAGCTTCGGGTGTGCTGCGTCACGTGATGTGAAAAGGGAGGAATGCAGTGGAAGCGGGGCAAGGGCCTTGCGTCTTCACGAGGGTTACCACCCACGTAAGAACTTCTTCTACGTGGTGTGTGCATGTGTCTTCGCACAAGGCTTGGCGAAGCCCTGGAGCACGACAGTACCTACCTTAGGCAAGGATGTTGGAACGAGGGCTGGGAGCAAAATTCAATGCCTTCAGCCAACAACGTGTGCTTTGCATACCTAGGTACATCTTGGTGGACCTGTTCGCCTGCCGCCTCTCAGCTGGTATACAAAAAGCAATCTTCGCCTCAGCTAAGGTACCTACGTTAGGTACCTAAAGCAGGTCAGGTAGGTCAAACAAGCAGAGAATTGATCGACAACCCATTGGAGGTTCTTTCTACTACAAACAAGGCACCTCGACGCCTTGACCAGCCTGATTGAATGGACGAACTGATTATGCGAGAAAGTGTAATGAGCTGAGTATACCCAGTAAAGTTGTTGCACCAGCAGATCGGCCAATCGCTGCCGTCTTCGGAGGTCGGGGCGGGGTTGAGCAAGAATGCGTGTGTTCGAGTTGAGCGCTAGGTGCTGCCAGTGTCCCATTAGGTACCTCGCCGGGTACCTAGTGCCTGGTGGGTGCTACCCTGCCTTCGGCAGCGACTCCAAGTGTCGCGCGACCATCGTCACTCCGCCCATGTAGCCATCACCGTCCCAATCCAAATCAGACCATCGAGACTTGCACCCTTCATCAACTCGCGAACCGCGCAATATGCCCGCCAGCCATCGAGTCTGGTCATGAGCTTTCACCCTCCCGCGTCATGGCCTCAAACCTTGCCTCGAAGACCTTTTACTCCAGCTGCTTGCTCCTTTCGAACCCCACCACATCTATAACGTCATCATGTAAATGGCACACCTCGACCAGAGGCACCGGCTCTCAGCAACCGTCCGGGCCCGCTTGCCAGCCAACGATCCTATGCTACAGCACATGACAGCCGTGCCGCTCACCATCGCTGGCCCTCGCACTCAAACCCGACCCCCTACGATATCTTCGCCATCGACAAGCAACCCCCTACACCAAAGCACGGTTCTACGAGCTTCGTCAAAGCTCTACCACCCCGACACTCAACCCCCGAGAAGGGAGGCATGGCGGCGCCCCCGGGGCCTCACCGGGCCTCCCCGCCGGCCGTCCGGCTCGAGCGGTACCG